CATTTAAATACATACATGCACAAGGAACATTATACTTATATATATGTGTGTTCTGTGATCCGAAGAATTGTTCGACATAATGCCTATGCCTACCTTACTATACTTGTCATGGAATTTATCCCCACTGGCTGAAAGAAAATTCCTCTGAGCAGGAAATTCCTGCTGCCTGAACTTAGACTGTAGAATGAACTACCTCGTTTATTGAATTCATTCTCAGTGGCTGAAAGATATGTGGTCTCGAACGGTGCAGTTTCAGAGGAACTTCCTGCTGTCAAAACTTAGATTGTGAAATCAACAGGCTTTTTTATGGAATTCATCCCCATACGGTGGAACATAAGTGGTCTCGAAAGGTGTAGTTTCAGAGAAACTTCCTGCTGTCAAAACTTAGATTGTGAAATCAACAACCTTGTTTATGGAATTCATCCCCATACGGTGGAACATAAGTGGTCTCGAAAGGTGTAGTTTCAGAGAAACTTCCTGCTGTCAAAACTTAGATTGTGAAATTAGCTACCTGGTTTATGGAATTCATCCCCACAGGCTGGAACATAACTGGTCTCGAACAGTACAGTTTCAGAGAAACATCCTGCTGCCTAAACTTAATAGATATAGAGAGATTATAGCATGGAGTTTTTCAAGAGGTCTTTTACAGACTCTTATGACATGTCAAATCTACCTTCAGTTTGGAGTGCTGTCGAGCCAAGAACTAACAAGAAACTCGCCCTTATTCTTTTCAAATGACTTTGTACGTGTATATAAAAATACAGATTCATTTTTAAAATCAAATTAGTGAGAATATAGTGACCACCAGAATATACCAAATGTAATTGTAATTATGTCAAAAGAAACTAGTCTAAACAGTGACTATACAGTGACTATAACCCGAACTGACCAGATTCTAAAGAAACCTTAAAATATCCTTCCTGAAACTCCATGCTGTAGTCTCTGGAGTAAACCTCGGCGGGTAATTTATTCCACAATCTAAGTGTACGCGGGTGGAAGCTCCTCTGAAACCGCATTGTCCGAGACCACTTAGATTCCAGCGTGTGGGGCCGTTCAAGTATTACGTAAGCACTATAGGGGGGCGGGGGGTCTTTTCTTTGCTTATTTTGGATGACATGGGGGTGGGGGAGTCTGTATGATGATTACGTCATCGGTCGTAATTTACTTTTTTACACGAATGGCAACCCTCACATTGTCTTTGTTAAAAAAACAATACATTAATTGAGAAATGTTTACGTAAGCATGGGGGGAGGGGTAAGAGCTTTGCTTACTTTTGCTGACAACGGGGGATGAGGGGTAAATAATTGTGATAAATCTGCTTACGTAATACTTGAACAGCCCCTGTGGGGATGAATTCCCAGTCAATGGTGAGCGGTGCGATATTAAAAAGTTTCCATGTTGTTAATAATGTATTCTAATACCTTTGTCTCAGGTGGCTATATAACTACGTACATTTAACTAACTAACTACGTACTTGAGAGATAGTTACGCTCAGTGTTGACCTTTGCAAAGAATGCAGACGCGGTCATTGAAACTGACAACAGTACAGCAACGAGTTATTTATAAAAAAAAGTAATATAATTATATTTATCGAGCATAGTAATAAACAAAAAGGAGTTGTGACTCATTAAGAGAGAAATTTAAAGATCAAATGTTCTCACTAGCTTTTGTTCGCAACGTCTCGCTCGCGTTTAATTTATTCCAAAGTTTCCTTCATCCCCTATTTTATCCCCTTGGGGGTAGAATTAATCAAAAAAAAATCCATTAGTGGAGGCCTACGTCGTAACATCTACCTGCATGCCAAATTTCAGCCCGATCCATCAAGTAGTTTGGGCTGTGCGTTGATAGATCACTATGTCAGTCACCTTTGTGTTATATATATTTAGATATATTTTACATATATGTCCACAAAAATCTTCACTCATCATCATCATCATCGCAGCCCGGAAGACGTCCACTGCTGGACATAGGCCTCCCCCAAAGATATCCACGACGATCGGTCCTGCGCTGCTCGCATCCAATGCTTTCCAGCGATCTTGACCAGATCGTCGGTCCACCTAGCTGGAGACCTTCCCACGCAGCGTCTTCCGGTCCGTGGTCGCCACTCGAGGACTCTACTGCCCCAACGGCTATCTGTCCTATGAGCTATGTGCCCTGCCCATTGCCACTTCAGAGTCGCAATTCTTCGGGCTATGTCGGTCACTCTGGTTCTTCTGCGGATCTCCTCATTTCTGATTCGATCACGCAGAGTAACTCCGAACATAGCCCTCTCCATTGCCCTCTGAGTGACTCTGAGCTTGTTGATGGGGCCCATAGTTAGCGACCACGTCTCTGTTCCGTAAGTCATCACTGCCAACACACATTGGTCGTAAACCTTCGTCTTGAGACACTGCGGAAATTTGAACGAAAAGATATATCGGAGCTTCCCGAACGCTGCCCATCCGAGTTGGATTCGACGATTGAAATCTTCACTACTTTTACGAAAAACAGCAATATTCATAACATTAATATTAGATTTAAAGACAAACTTGCTGTTCCTACGTATCGTTTAAAAAGTCAATAGTCTTTTATGGGAATGGGTATAAAAATGTACAATAAAATACCAATGGATACTCTGAAATTACGCCCCCCATCGTCCGGTGAAGCCGAAAAGACCAGCTGCGACCAACAGCATTAGAGTAGTCCGAAAAAAAAGTATTACATGTCTACATATTGTAGCCTTGGTTTTGCAATGTTCTTGTAGAAATCTAGATATTCAGAGCGCACTGTGGTGTGACACAGTTGATAGCCCTGTGGCCTTAGGACTACTCAGCTTGAATACTCGATCGTTGGATAACTAATATCTAGCAAGAAGCACATTCAAATGGACATATTGGTAATGTTACGGAATACACTTGCATTGTTAGCCTCGGTGGTGTAGCGGTATAGCATGCCGCTTTACTATCCGATGGTCGCGGGTTCGATTCCTCGCGCGGTATAAATATTTATATTCATGAGTATGATTATTTGTATAGGTGTTTTCTATGTATATTATGTATGTATTTACAAAAAAAATATTTATGTATTTATATCAGTTGTTTAGAAGAATGAGCAAGAAACTTGTGTGTTGCTCTTTTTAATAGATGTTTTTTTATATAATAATTACAGTATAACAAGTAAGAGGCTTAATCAACTAGCTTACACACTCATTATTAATGTAATCAGATAATATTGTCTAGATTTAAAGTTATTATGTATGTATTTAAAAAAAAAATATCTGTATTTATATCAGTGTTTAATTGTCCAAAAAAAAAAAAAATACCGTGGCACTAAATGGCGTTGTATGAATTGTCAGGTGTGTTATGAGATAAACAGATAGATAGAATAGGTGTTTTCTATATAAATTACAAATGTATTTACTAAAAAAAAAATCTATGTATTTATATACATAAGTTGTCTAGTACCGATAACACAAGCTATGCTTACTTTAGGACTATATGGCGTTGTGTGAATTGTCAGCTATGTTATTAGATAGATAGAGATAATTAATTTATTGCCAACATAACACAATTTGCAAATAATACACAAAATAAAAAAATAACATAATAACTTGTAGGAGCTGCCTGTTGCTGATATAAATATAACATCAATGAGGTGCTATACAGCCCCAGTTTTCAGTGTTCAAAGTCTACTTTGTACGAAGTATAGATCTGATAAAAATATTTCGATGTATTGGACTGATTAGCTGAAGAGATGTAATTAAGTTTAACACAGAGCTTAAACAAATATTACAAAGAGAAATAAAGTAATATATTTTTTAATAAATGTGTAGTTTATTTCCACTTGAAGAAAACATTAACAGAGAGAAACAAGGACGTATTCTATTTTTAAAAAATCTGTACATGTTTTATATATTTTTTTTTAATAAATTGCATAATAAATGTATTTATTTTCACTTGAAGAAAACATTATCAGTGAGCAACATTGGCGTATTCTATTTTTAAAAAATCTGTATTTGCGTACTTTTAAATTTATTTTTTAATGCATTGCTTAATAAATGTATATATTATTTCCACTTGAAGAAAACATTAATAGCGAGTAACATTGGCGTATTCTATTTTTAAAAAATCTGTACCACAGATAAGATAATATTACATATCTGTACGAAGCCGGAGCTTGTCAGTAATATTACAGTAAAACTTTTTCTGGATACTTTATTTTCTTTTATACCACTTAGGTGGCAAACTAGCATACGGCCCATCTGATGGTAAACGGTTATCGTAGCCATTGGGTGCCTGAAACACCAGGGGTGTCACATACGCGTTGCCGACCCTTAAGAAACCTTAATATACTATTATATACTCTATACAGTAACAGTGATAATTAACCACATTTTTTTACTATTAAAAATAATATTGCTATTCATTCATTCATAATTTAAGAGCTACCTTCTTGTCGGTGGAGCTCATGCCACATTGCGCGATCTTCCATCATGCTCTTTAATGCTATAATTTATATTAATTTTTATCTGCAATGAAGAAGTTAAGCCACTTAGGGTAATCAAATTATTTGCGTTTATTATATACATTTCAAGAAAAAATGTGGATAACTAATTTTTAAATAAGTGCACTTGTGAGTTTTTTCCTGAGTTTTTATTATTATGTACTAAGAGATTAAAAAAATAGCAAAATTGCCAGTATTTCTACAGCGGTATATAAACAACTAGACCAATAAACACTAAGTAATAATCATTCTTAAGTATATGTATGTATAAATGTGTACAAATATAAGTAGGTAAGTATTAATAAATATCAGCTGTATCTTGACAACAAACTGTTCTGCAGTCTGGCGAGTCATTTACTAAAAAAAAAACAATTCTTTATAAATCAATTGGTGAAATCGCCAAGAAAATCTTGCATATAATTGAAGGCATCTTCACCCTTATCTTACCAAATAGTGACAACACCCCTTATTAAAAATGTGTACTAGTGAAAGGTTTTGCCCCGTTCGTTGTATAAAAGCAGCCTACGTCCGCGACGCGCCTCCGACTTGACAACATGGCGGCACTAGCGCGATTGGTATGTCCAAATCAGTTCTAAATTTGAAAAAATTACAAATAAGAAAAATAGTTATTCATAGACAGTATATTCTTTTTTTTATGTTCATCAGTAATGCGAAGGAATTCTGTCACGATATCTTATTTGAAATTGAATTGAATTTTTTATTTTTTATAGTGAAAGTGAATAAATACTTTGTTGTTAACTATACTGTTTTATAGGAGTAAATTGTTTTAATTGGCTTGCGTGTGATAAGTTGATAACAATGAGTGACGTCACGATGGTTAACTAGTTTCTTTGTGGCTCGACATGTTGTGCAGTGTTGTGTTATTTTGTGAAATTATAGTGCGCTGGTGTTGATCTAGAGATAATGTAAATTATGTGCAATGAATTATATTACACCGTTTAACATTTTTTTAACTGAAGTAATGCTTTATTTTTATAATAACTTACGGTTACCGGGTTCGTACGGTTGCAATTATTATAAGGATATACAATTTTTTAAATTTTATAGGTCCCATGATAATCTGAGTTTATCAAAATTACAAATGGAAAATCAAATCTTTCCTTGAATTTAATTCTTTTAAGCAGTATTTGTTTAGAAAATTAATAAAAGTGTTATTTCTTTTATATGTCGTTGAATTTTAAAACTGAAATTCATATTTATTGAAGAATTAAATTTTAGACAGATATTAATAAAATCTATTTTATAATAAAACTTTTCTGGTATTGTGGGCAAAACACACTTCTTCTTAAATATTTTATGGTACACAGATACCTGCACAAGGTTGGTTTAGACATCTTAATTTTTTTTATATGTTACTGGCTGTTTATTGCACTCTCTATAGATTAAATAATTTTAAAAATTATTGTATATATTTAGAGTTATCTGTTACAAAGGTACGATCTCCTAGTCTGAGTATGCGAGGTACCTACCCCTTAGTTGCACTTATTTATTTTGTCCCAGTCATGGTTATCACACTTCATGAAGTAAAATGTCAGTTCACATAAATGTATACATAAAAATCTAATTTCTTCTCTATGTAAATCTTATTTTTAATATTTGTAATGGAGTAATGCATCCACTTGCGCTAACGGTAGACGCTGGTGGGGCACTAATGGAGGATGATAGGATGTACATGAAGTTTCCAAGATCATGTAAATATTTCATGGTAAATTTGCCAGAAGATATATTTTCCAGTGAAGATCACGTAGACATTATACATTGTTAGCAATAAGGCCTATAGGTTTCATGAATAGTTCTCCTGCCTCTTCATATCGTATAATTTAAGTTTCAAAATACTTTTTTTATGGTTCTGGGCTATTGTCAGGTGCATGGCCCTGTAGCCCTGCGACCTACATAGGTCTATTGTGCTCGCCCTTTTCAAAGTTCGCTACCTAGACCCGTCAGGGACAAGAATTGAAGGATATTCTTAGGAGCGATGGTTTTTATCTCCTCAGTATAGAGTGTTAACTTTCCAAAGATTTTGAAGTATTTATACAAGTTTGCGTACCGCCTTACTTTCCAATAGTCACGGGTTCGATTCGAACATTTGTACTCATAAGTTTGCTATGTATATTATGTACGTATTAAGAAAACAACAACTGTATTCAAGTATTTATATGAATTTCAAAAATAATTCATTCATGAAGGACAAGTTCATGTTAGCCGCTTGTAAACGTCAAAATTTTTATATATTATAATTGTTTCTCCACCGTCAGTTCAGTATACAGATTCAATTGAGAAGAACTGACAAGAAACTCAATTGAATTGTTATATATAGTATCAGTTGTTTAGTACCCATAGCTCTGCTTATCTTGAGACTGGATGGCTCTCTATGGATTATCTAAGGTTATTATAATATTATGTAATAATAATAATCTTAGGACAATTCACACATCGCCATCTAGACCCAAGTTAAGCTAGCTAAAGCTCGTGTTTTGGGTACTAGATAACTAATACAAAAACATAGATTTTTTTTGTAAATTCATACATACTATACATAGAAAACACCCAGACCGAAACATAACAATCATACTCATGAATGCAAAATTGCGCCGTGCGAAGAATCGAACCCGCGACCATCGGAAGTAAGGCGGTGTGCTAAACCACTAGACCACAGAGGAATATTGTAATTAAATTCCAACGTAACTGGGTCGCCATTTTATTCTGAAAGGACTGAGTTTATTTGTAAAAACTACGTCTGATTATTTATGCTGCTTATTACAATGTTGCCAGCATTGATATCAGATACCGGTCTGGTAGTGAACGGCCGGGTTACCGTGGCCTTCCTTCGACTTTCCGATTGTCACTCCCTTTGTGTTAATCTATTTCCGCCCACTTATATACGACTACATTATTTTCTTTATACACAACTAGCTGACCCGCCAACTTCGGCGGGCGGGACTTATTTGACATTCGTCATTATATAATTTATATTACTGTAAAGTTTCATCAAATTCCGTTCAGTAGTTTTTGCGTGAAAGAGCAACAAACATCCATCCATATTCACAAACTTTGGCATGTATAATATTAGTAAGTGTTGACAATTGTGAAATAATTATACACTTATGTACCTACTTATTTAAAAATATATTTGAACAAATGATGACATTTTTGATTGCCTAAACAAACCGGAAGAAGGTGGTCAAGGTGAAAGAAAATAATCACAGATAATATTAAAAACAGAGAGCACAAAAGTTGTACAGAGTAGGTTACTTTACGGTACAGATTAAAATATTCTAACAGTAAGATTATAAATACTAGTGGTCAAAATTCGACTATAATTAATTTAAATTAAGATTATATTTCAGATAGATGAATATGAATGTGGATGGATGTAAAGGGAGGGGACGCCCTAAGAAAAGATGGATGGATTGTGTGAAAGATGATATGAATAAAAGAAGAGTATGTTTAGATATGACGACCGATAGAGAGCAGTGGAAGAGAATGACATACTGCGCGGACCACAAATAATGGGATAAAGGCAAGGCAATAATGATTTCAGATTTAGACAATAGACAAATAATATTAATCTATTCATGAAATACATTTATTAGCTTTACTTTCTCTATCCACCCAAAGGTAGTCTGGAAGAGATTGCTCAGCGAAATTTGCCTAAATATTAATAAGAAAACATAGATGGTAGAGGGCAGATGAAAGAATGTATCTAATATTATAAATGCTGAAAAGAATGAAAGAATGTATGTTATATTATAAACGCGAAAGTTTTGAGTATAAATATAATAGATGTAATTAATGACTTTGTTTGTACACATACATTAAAAATTTGCTCGGGTTGAAATTTGGCATGCAGGTAGATGTTATGATGTAGGCATCCGCTAAGAAAGGATTTTGATTAATTCTACCCCCAAGGGGATAAAATAGGGGATGAAAGTTTATATGAAACTTTGTCAATTTTAAACCGATCGGGCTGAGACTTTGCATGCATAAAGCTATTAATAACGTAGGCATATTTATCCTATGAAAGGAGTTTGATAAATTCCACCCCTAAGGGATAAATTACCGCGAGCAAAGCCGCGGGCAAAAATAGCTAGTATTTAATATAGTACTAAAGATCCCGGTGGGTTTCGACCTAGTTCAGACTCCAGACTCTCACAAAAATATGTAAACATATAAATAAAATTGGAGCTATTGCATCAGAAATGTAACGCGCAAAGCCGCGGGCAAAAGCTAGTATAAATATAAAACACTTTCTTACACAAAAAATATATTCTTTAATAGAGTTAGTGATTATTTACGAGTTCGGTAATTTTAGACTGGAATTCAGGTGTGTATAACGATGCTTGGTAATTTGTTTATGGGCTAATTAAACTGAACATTGACATTTATTTACGCTCGGAACCTAGGTTCTAGTTTGAGTAATGACACGTCAAAATAGGTGGCTATTAAGTTTACTAATCCATAGAAATATGTACTTATAAGCTCTAGCATAAATCACAAAATTGCATGCAGTCTCATATAATAGTACGTTATTCATTTTTTTTGATTTGTTTTTAATTTTATTCAATTGTCAATTTTCCCGCCAAATATAGTTTTTAAATTTAATTTATAAATAGAAGAAGGCAAAGGAATCATTAGGTACTTATATATCACTCTATAAGTTTATACTATTGACAAATTGTTCAAAGTACAAATATAATTAGTATGTTTACAGATTTTCCTAATAGGTACATATAATAAATACTTTTTTCACACTGTTTTAAAGTTTTTTTTTTCTTTGGCAAGAGGCTGTTTTAAAGTTTTACTGGGTTGCTTAATTTTTTTTCTTTTTATTTTCCATTCTGGTCGTAGATATTCCTTTTTTGTAATGGTATAATACTGGTACATAGTAATCTGCAATTTAATGTTTTTTATAATTGCACAAAATAGAATGAAGGCATACTTAATAATATAGTAATTGGAATTCCATAGGATTAGGATAGGGTTTGCTCGCTAAATGTATCTATTTCTAATTTAATTTGGTACTACATATACAATACATATATATAATAAATATATAATATAATGACTAAATGAATATAATAACTTATTATATTCATTTAGTCATTATATTATATTATTATTATTATACAAATACATATTTATATGTATAAAAATGAATCCCTATTTCCTTTGGTCAGTGCATCATTCGTGAACAGCTGGACTGATTTTTCTATTAAAGACTGAAAGAAAAGCTTAAAAAAAGTTCTGAGGATCAAGGAATTTTTTTTTCCAAATTTTTATTTCTCCTTTTCTTGACAAAAATCTGTCCTATGAGGTAGTGGTAAATACTATAAACTCTTTCCACAATATTTACCTGTTAAGACAAGTAAAAGTTTTGAGAATAAGAAAGTTAATTATCTACATCTACACATATAAATAAAATTGGAGTGTCTGTTTGTAATATTGAAATAACCGTTTTTTACTACACGCATATGAATATAAATACGGTACATAAAAATAACATTTTTTACAATTTTTGTCTGTCTATTTGTTCCGGCTAATCTCTGAAACGGCTGGACCGATTTTGACGGGACTTTTTTTTGGCAGGTAGCTGATGTAATAAGGAGTAACTTAGGCTACTTTTATTTTTGAAAAATAAAGTTATATTATTAATAAAAGTATTTCTCGGTCTCACAGTTCATATATATTTATGTAATGGGCACAATACATTATGATGATATATAGGTGTATATCAACATTGCATAGATAATATTAGATAACGATATATGCACTGTCTGTAATGCAATTATTTCCGCGTTCAGTTCACACGGTTACATATCGGTGTCAAAGTGTTACACAGCTCCTTGTGGTGACAATTTTTTTTTAATCTAACGATGCAATGCAATGCACCTACACTAACGGTATGCACTGGCGGGGCACCAGTGTATGTAGTATATAGTATGATATGAGGTTAGCCCATCTGGATTTGTTTTTATTTATGAAGATTTTTTATTTCACGTCAAGTCACACAGCGCCATCTAGACCCAATTTAAGCTAGCTGAAGCTTGGGGTACTAGATAACTGATGTAAATATATAGATTTTTTTTGTAAATACATTCATATTATACATAGAAAACGCCCAGACCGATACAAACAATCATACTTATTAATGATGTTTGTAACATGCGAGGAATCAAACCCGCGACCATCGGATGTAAAGCGGTGCTATACCACCGAGGTCGTATAGCGAGGTCATATATAATGGAATGCTGCACCCGCCTGCGCTAACAGTTTACGCTGGCGGGGCACCAGTGGAGGATGATAAGATGATCACGCGAGGTCTGCCCATGTGACAAATTCAGCATGAATTTATCATGATGGTTTCCAGGGGGAACCGCGTGGAGGTCACATTACTAACAATCCCCTTTCCCCCCTAATTACCTAGATTTAACTACTGCAATCCGATAAAGTATTAAATAATGAAAACATGATGGTTCACAGACAGAAGGGACCGTGTGGAGGTCGATTTTATAAAGACGTTCTAAAGATACATTATTTTGTAATGACCAGTCATCAAGATGCAGGTTACATTTATAAGTTATTTATTAAACAACACCAAAATGCAATGTAAGCTTTTTTTTAATTTATAATCTTGTTACTGGGATCGCTTTTCTGTATTGCCATCTGCAATAATGTTAGGTTAAAATGAAATATGAAATTAAAAACAATGTAATATACATATTTTAATACTATTTGAAAATAGAAAATTGTTTTTTAATTTTGTCTTTCTCTCTCTCCTTAATTTTTCTATCTTTTGTCAATTTTTTGACCATTTTCGTGATTTATGTGTTTAAAAATTTTAATTATTATTTTTTATTCATTATTAAAACTGTGATTGTTTTTTTTAATATTTATTAATTAATAGCTACAAATTAAATAAAATCAAAATATCTTTATTCATGTAGACAGACATGACAGTCTTTTATGACATGTCATATCTACCGTATAAATATATTAATACTAGCTGACTCCGCAGAAGTTGTTTTGCCATATAAATTAAAATCGTTATTAATAAATAGGAGTTGATGCTAGAAGGGTGAAAATGTAGATATTTGTATAAAAAAAATATTGTCCATAAAATAAAGTAAAATCTTAGGGTTGCCCATGTACAACTCTCTTATATAGTAACACTGTCCCGGCAAACGTTGTTTTGCCATGAAAAATATATAAAAATAGATAGCCAATTCTCAGACCTACTGAATACGCATATAAAATTTCATAAAAATCGGTCAAGCCGTTTCGTTCGGTCAAATCGTTTGAGAATTTTATATATAAGATAGTTTACAATAATAGCCAATTAAATATACACCTAAACTTTAATAATCATAAAGTTTATATTGCATTCCAGTTATGGTAGGACTTATGGTATAATTGTTGTGTTACACGTTAGTAAAGTACAATATCACGCCATTACGAAGACAGATAAAGAGAAATACTTTGACACGTAAAGGCATCAATGCGTAAATTTTCGTCATTCCACTTATTGTGCAAGTCTAAGTTATAAGCTGAGAGCGATATTACAAATAAGAGGCCGTCCATTAATCACGTGATCTTTTACCACCCCCCCCCCCCCTCTCTCTCTCTCTCCCCCTCCCCTCCTCCCACACAACTTGGTGAGAAGTAGTGAAGTTTAGGACAGGACAGGACCTCACCCCCCCCGCTTTCAACCCTCACGTGATTTCACGTGATTAATGGATAATCCCTAAGTACGGCAAACTGTATTATATTAAGAAAAGTATTCATGTAATTATTGCATTAATTCGTGAAGCAAAAACTTTGTGCACTTTTTAAGAAAATTACGCGGACGGAGTACGTAATTTATATAAAGAAAGAAAAGTTTTTTTTTAATTATCCATTAAGAATACATTAAATCAACAAAAAAAAACATAACAAACATTGCTGTGTATTTTAGGCATAATATATTCTTTTGTTTGATTGTTATTCGTCGTTCAAAGATCTTTTTTAATTTTTTATTATGTTAGATTTTCGAACGTAATAAAAACAAAATTAAACTAACTAAATAGATCTATTAATAATCTAAACTGAAACAAATTAAATGTAACTATTTAACGGTTTGCAACTCACTTTACGACTTCAATGTTGGGTTACTCTAGATACGAAATATTGAATAATTATATTTACATACATTTAAATACGTATAAACGTATTTAAAACAGACCGTTGTAAACCAACCAAAAACAGAAACATACAAAATCGCGCCCTCTCGCCGCTTGTGTCATCAAGTTGTATAAAATATAAGTATTTGTTACTTTATTTTTACGTACCGACACAAATACCTGATTGTAGTGTCAAGGTGGCAGTGGTCATACTTCAAAAACTCCAGTTATTTGCAACAATTTAATGTATTATTTTATTACTATATTTTGATGGAAGCGGTTCACGTTTCGCCTTGAGTTTTATGGAACTACTTTTCGCAAAAAATTACACTTGAACGTGGATATATGATACTGGTTGTGTCCGCGGTTTCACGTGGCTTTGCTAGCGTTGAATCTATTAAGTAAAGAATAGAAAATCATTTATTCAAATAAACTTAATTTAAGTACTTTTGAATAGTCAACATTTTTTTAAATCTACCGCTTATTCGGAAAGCTGTCTCATCACAAGAAGAATAAGCAAGAAACTTGTGTGTTGCTCTTTTAAACAATCCTTGTAAGTTCACATTTTACAAGTCGAAACGTGTGAATACAAACTACCAACCAGCACTAATTTATTTAGGCTCAAATATAAAAACACAATAAGTAAATGTCGGAGATCATTAGAAATTAATCATTATTTTAGTGTATGTACCGTATTTATATTCATATGCATGTAGTAAAAAACGGTTATTTCAGTATTACACACAGACACTCCAATTTTAGTTATATATATCGATTAATAAGTTTCTAGACCTTAATGACTTTACGCAGAATGGCAAGTCGGTCCGCCATTTTGAAATGTAAGGGTTAACAACATGAAAGTATCCTATGTTAGAATAGAATAGATTAATATTTATTACTATCATCACATCACAACACAACAATGACGATGCTCACAGCAGCATATAAATTATTATAAACATATCAATAGAAATAATAAATACAATACAAATCATTATGAGAGAAAAATAAACGAACAAGAAAATCAAACAAAAGAAAAGAATATATATAAACACATATACCAAAAACAATAATAACGAAGCAAAAAAAAAATGCGTATCCACCACTGCGGAGCATCGTCACCGCGTCACTGTGTACGATGTGTGTGTAAGGGGCCCATCTCAGCATTATGCCATGACGAAATTCACGACGCTGATTTTCAGTTCGGTTTTCGGATGAATTTGGACAAAACCAAGATCATGTTTTATCCAATTCCATTCGCCATTAATGGAGTTCCTCTCGAAGTTGTTCAGGAGTATATTTATCTAGGGCAAACGCTCCAACTAGGTAAAAACAACTTTGAGAGGGAGGCCAAGAGGCGAATACAGCTAGGCTGGGCGGCATTTGGGAAACTTCGTCAAGTCTTCTCGTCGTCGCTACCACAAAGCCTTAAAACCAAGGTTCATAACCAGTACGTCCTACCCGTTATGACATACGGTGCCGAAACGTGGACACTGTCGATACGGCTGGTCCATCAACTCAAAGTTGCTCTACGGGCTATGGAAAGAGCTATGCTTGGAGTTTCTCTAAGGGATCAAATGCGAAACGAAGTAATGCGCCAGAGAGTTGATATAGTGGCAGTGAGCTGGTCATATCTATTGTAGAACCGATGCTCGCTAACTTTATTTATGATTATTTTTTCACCATTGCGACCGTTATAGCCTAAACAACAAATGCGTCATTATACTTATGACTAGCTTTTGCCAGTGGCTTCGCTCGCGTTAATTTATCCCCTTAGAGGTGGAATTTGTCAAAATCCTTTCTTAGGGGATGCCTACGTCGTAGTAGCTTTATGCATGCAAAGTCTCAGCCCGATCGGTTTAAAATTGACAAAGTTTCATACAAACTTTTATCCCCTATTTTATACCTTTGGGGGTAGAATTAATCAAAATCCTTCCTTAGCGGATGCCTACGTCATAACATTTACCTGCATGCCAAATTTCAGCCCGATCCGTCCAGTAGTTTGGGCTGTGCGTTGATAGATCACTACGTCAGTCACCTTTGAGTTATATATATTTAGATTTTTTTTTCATTTGCAGTTTCTGGTGGGTTTCCTCGCGTGTGCGTACGGGCAGTATGCTGAGGAGCGTGCCCCCCGGTACATAGCTTCAGAGTCCAAACCTACAGTAGCGCCTCCAGTTGCGATCCTCAAACAGATCAACAGGTATATAGATGCTTCAATTTTTTTTATTTAACTTACACCGATGTTTAAAAATTTTACTTACCAGTTATGTCATTATTACTATGCATTAGTCATTTTGTTAGGCAAAAAAGATAGTTGAAGATGTTGGTGATATAATAAGATATATCTTATTGTTCATTGTATAATATTATTTTTTGTATAGCAACCCTGGTGCAACGCCGATATTTTAGCGGGCCAGAGACAATATAATAACCGTTATAAGTTCATATTCAAAATCTGCCAACGATCGCATACGCATTATCATACACAACCAGTATAAACCTATGATCAAGTAAATTAAAAAACTAGCCAGGAATCTACGATTTTCATTACACCATCAAGACACTCTTCTCACTAAAAGGCGAATAAAACTTATATATAAAATTCTCCAGTCATACTCCTCCGAAATGGCTTGACCGATTTTTATGAAATTTTATATGCATTCACTAGATGTGGATCTCAGATATCTTTGGAGGAGGCCTTTGTTCAGCAGTGGACGTCTTCCGGGCTGAGATGATGATGATGATGATGGTTTCAATAGCTCTGAAAATACTATTACCATTATTTTCCATACTTATAAGGGTTATATTTGTACTACATTAAATCTAGTACAAATATTTCATTCATGAGTATGATTATTCATAGCGGTATTGGTTGTGTCATGTCGTTTTAAATTTTAATATATATTATGTACTCTGTATATTATTATTTACAAAATAAGTATTTCCATCAGGTGTCTAGTAAGCTAAGCAGTTTTTGTGTTATCACACAAGATTTACTTAGTTTGGGACTAGCTCTGTGGAAATTGTCCTGAGTTATTATTATTAAAGACTTGAACCTTATTTCACCCCTTACTGATTGTTATTATTATTAATTGCAGGCACAATGAGGATGGATCATACACTTATGGATACGAAGCCGCCGATGGATCGTTCAAAATCGAAACTAAATCCCCTACTGGGGAGGTGAAAGGCAAATATGGGTACAAGGATGATACCGGCAAGGTAATATAATAAATAATTTCATAAAACTAACTAAATATGTTTATTTTGTTAACTTAAGTAAGTTAGAAAACGCCTTATGAAATATTATAGCAACAATGTACAAATTTGCATAAATAGGCGCTTCTAAACTAGACTCGACACGCATAACAACCCAAATGAGAAGCTAATTACAGAGAATAGAGTTCACATTACATATACATTTACTAGACTATCAGTTGTGATCGTTTCTTATAGAACCAACTAATCTCTACCCTAGATTTACATAGATTTATGAATACAGATGTCGGTATCTGTACTGATATCATAGAGAGGTAAAGTTCGTGGGGTTTAGATTTTTTGTAGGATTGTAGATCTACTCAATCGATTTTGAAAATAATTTTGGTGTTACATAGCTCATTTATTGAGGGACTTTATAGGCTATTTAAAATCATACTACGACCTAAGCTGCATTGAAAAATGTTGCAAAAAGGGGAACGCAGACCAACGTCCTTATGTCAGTAAGTTGTCAATAAAGCAAAATATCTTTACAATTGTGGAAGTCTCTACCTTTATGCCCGTTTTGGATCGTATTTTGCTCAAAGGATCGTATTTGGCAATAGTACTGGATGATTCTCTATTTTTCTATTTTGTAATATAGTTATTTTGTTTGATATTGTATAAATGATACATGTTCTCAGTGACAAAAAAATGACTACACAAAATACTAGGTGATACCCATTTTAATATTTAAATGTATGATGTTCTATGATAAATGTTTGACGACCTTGCTGGTCTAGCAGTGTAGTATACCGCCTTACTACCGACGGGCGCAGGTTCGATTCCTCGCACGGTATAAACATTCGTATTCATATGTATGATTGTTTGTATCAGTCTGAGTGTTTCTATGTATGTATTTACGAAAAAATATTAGTATCAGTTATCTAGTGCCTATAACACAAGCTTTAGCTAACTTAGGTCTAGACGGCGCTGTGAGAATTGTCCTGAGATTATTATTATTTTGACAATAATTTTATGATTATACTGTTTTCTTATTCAGCTGCGTGTAATCGAGTATGGAGCCAACAAGTATGGTTTCCAGCCAGCAGGTGAAGGTATCACTGTGGCGCCGCCTACGCTTGTAGACGAGTCGACCAGGCAAGAAGGCCTGAGGGCTACCAAGTCACAAGTAAGTTTTCATTTTTTTTATAAATATTCTTTTTATCTACGTGTGTATTTTTTATCCCACCAGAGAAATTTTCGTCTTAGGATAGCTATAAATTAACATTTGTTTTTTGATTTTGTTTTTGCGTTGCGTGCGTGTGTATTATGTATTACATAAAGCTACTATGATATAGGCATCCCCTAAGAAAGGATTTTTATAAATTCCACCCCTAACGCGAGCGAAGCCGCGGGTAAAAGCTAATATTACATAAATTTTAAGGATATTTAAAAGGACTAATGGTCGCCCAGTTGTCGAAATTCTACATTTCTACAGCATGCCAAATTTCAGCCCGATCCGTCCAGTGGTTTGGGTTGTGCGTTGATATGAGATCACTATGTCAGTCACCTTTGAGTTGTATATATTTAGATGTACAATGTTATATATACATATATGTATATATTAATACGTAATAGTTTTTACATTATTCCAATTGTCAATTTTCAGGGTGGACGTGCGCCAGTTCAGCAGCAATACGACTACGACTATGATGAGCCCGCGGCGCCGGCCCCACGGCCGGAGCCCCGTGAGAGGCCCTCGTACCGCGCCCCACCCCCGCCTCCGCCGCAGCCACAGCCCCGGCCGCAGCCCAAACAGCAGTACCGGCCCGCCCCACCCCCGCCTCAACCCCAGTACAGGCCTGCGCCCCAATCAGCCCCAACTCCGCCTAAGGTAGTATTCATCTGACGGTCTCGTTGGTCTACCGGTTTAGCACACCGCCTTACTTCCAATGGTCACGGGTTCGATTCCTTGCACGGCACAAGCATTTGTATTCATGAGTATGATTGTTTGTATCGGTCTGGGTGTTTTCTATGTATAATATGTATGTACTCGTATTTACGAAAAAAAATATATCTATGTATTTGTGTCAGTCATCTAGTACCCATAACACAAGCTTTAGCTTGCTTAACTTGGCACTAGATGGCGTTGTGTAAATTGTTCTGAGATTATATTATTATTTATGTATCTGTTGAGAGATAGATCTTATTGAATTGTTTCTTTCATTCAGCCGACATTCTTCAGCGGCGCAGCACCAGCACCTGTACCAGTTCAGGACAACTTCTTCAGCCCCTCTCCTCAACCAGCCAGGCAGTTCAAACAGCAGGACTTCAGGCCAGCTCCGCAATTTGCCCCCAAACCCCAAATAGAATACCAGGACTACGAACAGCCACAGCCCCGGTTCCCTTCTGTGAACCAGTTCAGTCAGCAAAGGAACTCTCAGCCCTTCTCCATGCTGGATCAGCTGCTGAAGGAGTATTCTCTGCCTCAAGGTGGGGCTGCGCCATTACACGATATCACCTTCGGATCCTACTAATTTAAGAGAGCCATCTCACTTTTGTAAATAATTAGAATATATTTTTTTATATTACAAACAAAACTATTAGATGTTATAATATTCTTTCGACTTTTTATTTTCTTAATACATATTGAAATTATTTCTACCCTACATATAATGTTTAGCTACATACAAACAACCTAGCTTGTATGTTGTAAAACTGGTTTTTAAATTACTATTAACTATGAACCTGTTAAACTGTCTACGGCTTGGGGTTCCGGTCTGCGCTCCGCACAAATGTCCCTGTGGCAGTGATAACGACAAACTAGGACATCACGGCCTGTCATGCCAAAAAAGTGCAGGCTGTATCTCGAGACACGCCGCACTTAACGATATCATACGCCGGTCCCTTGCCACCGTCAACGTGCCAAGTCTACTTGAGCCGACTGGTATTGCAAGAGACGATGGTAAGAGACCGGACGGTATGAGTTTGATTCCATGGAAGATGGGCCGGGTGCTGGTATGGGATGCAACCTGTTCAGACATGCTGGCCCCATCCCATCTACATGGAACCAAGAACAGAGCTGGTGCGGCGTGTGAAGCGGCTGAAAAAGCCAAAGCATATAAATACAGGGGTCTAGGCTACGAATATGATTTTGTCCCATTCGGCGTCGAGACCCTTGGTCCGTGTCGTCCTAGCGCTATAAGACTTTTCAAAGAAATAACGAAAAGGTTAGTCGACATCACAGAAGACCGAAGAGCTGGCAGCTACCTCGGACAAAGAATTAGTCTAGCCATTCAAAGAGGGAACGCTGCCAGTATCTTCGGAACTTTGCCTAAAGGGACCTCTTTTAATAATATATTTTAGTTAATGTATTATATTTTATAAGCTTTTTAATTTTAGGTTGTAGTTGTACAATTAAGTTATGTAAATAAAATGGTATGGTTTAAAAAAAAAACAATCTTATATATAAAATTCTCGTGTCACATTGTTAGTTACCATACTCCTCCGAAACGGCTAGACATATTTTATATGAAATTTTATATACACAGTTAGTAGGTCTGAGAAGCGGCTACTATCTACTTGTCCACCCTGTTAGGGTGGACAATTCTTATCACTTAGGGGCAGATGATGATGATTACTTGTTCTATGACAATAAACTTAGAAGATGAGCATGAACCTTTTTTTTAAACAGTATACTTATTGGAGATAGTTTGAATGCGTTCAGGGAGTGAGTTCCAGAGCCGTGAAGATTGTAGACCAAAAGAGTAAGATACAAAATTAGTTTTATGAAGAGGAGTTTGAAGTAAAAGCATAACTTCTTAGTCATATAATATGCTCACGGTATACCTGCAGTAACTTATCGGCCTCGGTGCTTTAGCAGTTTAGCACACCGCTTTACTTCCGGTGGGTGCGGGTTCGATTACTCGCACGGCACAAACCTTTGTATTCATTTGTATGATTTTTTGTAACGGTCTGGGTGTTTTCTATGTATAACTAGCTACTCGCCCCGGCTTCGCACGGGTATACATGTATTATATATATCAACATTCCTCTTGAATCACTCTATCTATTAAAAAGGGCTTCAAAATCCGTTGCATAATTGTAAAGATTTAAGCATACATAGGGACAGACAGCGACAGCGACTTTGTTTTATACTATGTAATGATATGTATGTATTTTGTATATATTTACCAAAAATAAATCTATGTATTTGTATCAGTTATCTGGTACCCATAACACAAGCTCTAGCGAGCTTAACGTGGTTCTAGAGGGCGTGTGAATTGTTCTGATTATTATTATTACCATCCGACTGGCCGTATATTTCGTTAAGCCATTGTTTAAGAACCTAGTCGTAATATTAACACCCAACTGCTTAGTCTATAAACTGCGTAATTATATACCATTGCGTAATATTCCATAATAACGCACTCTCATTGTATGTTTTTCAAAGCAACACAGAGGCCGTGGGACACCATTCTTTACTTCATTACACATGATGGGAATAAAGTAGAGATACATATGTGTCTTTTCCCATTGCGTTGCATAATTGAACAATAATGAAACAAAATGTAGTACCTATAGAAGTGAATCACTTACTGACCTTAATTTTCCAGCTGTCTACGTTCGTCTGAGTGATTCGTTTGTTTTTATTTGATATACTGTACACTATATCATACTCGTGAACGGGTGCTGCTTGTGGGGAGTGGTCTGTTCAGGTTGCGAACACTGATTGGTTTTTTTTATTTTTTTTATATAGCATATGCTGGTGGTCACTCTATTCTCCCAAATTTGAATTTAAATGAAATAGTGTTATTGTAAATATGTACAACATTAAAAAAAATACGAGCTGAGTTTCTTGTCAGTTCTTCTCATCTCGAAATCATTCCGAACTGACGGTAGATTTGACATATCATAAGAGTCTGTAATAGGCCTACATGAATAAAGATATTTTGAAGTTGAATTTGTAGACGCAACTTCTCATCATTCATGAATTTAACTTTATTTTTCTAAAACAAAAGTAGCCTAAGTTACTCTTTATTAAATCAGCTACCTGCCAATAAAAATCCCGTCTAAATCGGTCCAGCCATTTCAGAGCTTAGCCGGAACGAACAAACTGGAAGACAAAAATTGCATAAAATGTTATTTTGGTGTGTGTACCGTATTTATATTCATATGCATGTAGTAAAAAACGGTTATTTCAATATTACAAACAGACACTCCGATTTTATTTATATGTGTATTGTCTGCATTCATCTGAGCGAGTCGTTTGTTTCTATTTGATGTACGATATCTGCCAGAAATTCAACTAAGTGAGAGTTGGACCACGCCTTTTAATTATTTTTTTTATGTATTTCATATTTCAAACAAGCTGTTAATTCTTCTGATGATAAGAGAAATGAACTCTCTGGTAAAATATGCATTACTCCGATAAATATTGTTCGCATAGAATAGAATGAAAATAATTTATTCAAACATCCTTAATTTATACATATTTGAATAGTTAACATTTTTTTAAATCTACCGCTTATTCGGAAAGCTGTCTCATCACAAGAAGAATAAGCAAGAAACTTGTGTGTTGCTCTTTTAAACAATCCTTGTAAGTTCACATTCTACAAGTCAAAACGTGTGAATACAAACTACCAACCAGCACTAATTTATTTAGGCTCAAATATAAAAACACAATAAGATTAAATCAGTCGTAGTGATAAGAGCAGACCAGTCCCTATATATACTCGTTCACGAGTATGACGGATGAGCCAGCCATCACTGCGCTCGACCATATTTTAGTGACTATGACTCATTCCATTCGACCACGTCATATCTACTTAAAATTACTAAATAGTAGTTACAGTATTCGCACTTTACATGAGGATGCATGCGGTAATCAATACAAAAACCGCTACGCTATCATTTCCAAGAAAGCAGTATGAAAAAGAAATTATAAAGTTGTCTGCTAAAAAAACTTATTCTTGCTATATATTGCTGTCACCTCTGAATTCATCTATCCTATAATAGGATTTTTTACATAATATTTGTTTAATATAAAATTTGAATTGCCTCTCTGTCAGATTTATAGTGGATTCTGGCAGTTTATTATAAAAACTTACGCAATTGCCATAGAATGAATTACTAACTTTATATAAACGGCATTTAGGTAAAATTGACTTATTTTTATTGCGTAAGTTTCTACTTGTACAGTTTTTAAGTTTCTTGAAACTATCTAAGTTTTTCCTTGTATAATAGATAAGACAGATGATCAAGTACTTTGTTTTTCTACAATTGGAGGCCTCAGTGGTCTTACAGCGGTTTAACGGGGTGGGGATTATTAGTAATGGGGACTGATGACATTATTGCTAGCAATGTATCATGTCAAACCTCCACGCGGTTAAAACCATCGTGATAAGTTCTTGGTGAATCTGTCACGTTGGGCTAACTAGAGCTCATGCTCATCTTATCATCTCCACTGGTGCCCCGCCAGCGTAAACCGTTAGCGCAGGCGGGTGCACCATTCCATTATCATCCTTAAAAAAAATACAGCGATTTAACACACCATATCTTAGTTCCGATGGTTGCGAGTTCGATTCCTCGAATGATACAAACATGATTGTCTGTGATACAATATCTGGGGTGTTTTCTATATATACCAAATATGTATGTATATCAGTTGTCCAGTAATGGACATACACAAGCTCCGAATAGCTTGGGACTAAATGGAATCTCCATGCAAAATTTCATTTAAATCGGTCCGACGGTTTCGGAGATTCGCCTGTACAAACAGACAGAGTAACAATAAATTTGGAAAAATCTAAATGTGTTCCATTTTACTTCTAACATCCCTCTGACTCAGTTTTTAGCGTATTTTTTGGAATGTACAGACATTCGACCTCTACTGTTTTGTTATATGTATAGATTATTGGATCCACATTAAATCAACATGTAGGTGTCATCTTGCGTCATCCATGATTTAGGCGTTGATATGAGAACCGTACCATTGTTTGCTGTCCTATTGACATGCATTTACTGACTACCAAAAAAGGTAGCCAGAAATTTGAGTGTATTCTTTTATGGAGGTATGTTACAATTAAGAAAACGACCTCGCCTTACATCCACTGGTCGTGGGTTCAATATTCACATACATACATTTATTTTCTTATGGATTGTAATGGAATGATGCATCTGCGTTATGTATGATGTGATGAGGTCGCTACTTCATTTGAAGTTCACTAATACACTTTCCTATAGTATCCGGGTAGTGAGTACACAGGTGTAATAATTGAACTACATTAGTAAGTTTATTTGATAGTGTACTACACGGCTTATTAGTAACGCGTACACTCAACGTGGAGTCGTAATGTGGACTGACTTTACATTTATGTTAAATTGAAATTATCTGAAAACAAATGAAGTATATTGATATACCTAAATGTTACGAGTGTTTTTTTAATTTTTATTGTATGATATTTGAATTCAAATTCAAAAATCATTTATTCATGTAGGACATTTTAGCCGCTTATGAACGTCAAATTTTTACATTCTAATTTTATTTTTTTCCCTACCGTCCAGTTCGGTATATAGATCCAATTGAGAAGAACTGGCAAGAAACTCAATTGAATTACTT